AAGCAACCTTTTCTCATTGTGACTGACCACAAGCCTCTCCTGGGTCTCAGAAAAATTCCCATTGACAATGACAGAACTGGCCGGCGTGCACGCTGGGCTCTTGAACTTGATCCATTTGAGTGGACTGTAATTSACAAAAATGGCCATCACCATCTGAATGCAGATGCMATGTCACGTCGTCCTGCTGACACCAAYTTAACAGAACATGGCATTGTTTGTCCTGTGACTCCAAGTTTGCATTTGGAGARACACTCMRAWTCTGGAGGCCCATCTTGTCCTGTTGGGTCAGTACATCATCACAGCTCCAGTACTGCACAGCCCCCTTGTATATCTGAGTTTCCGTTTTCTGACAAAGATTTTGTGAAAGAACAACAACAGGACCCTGTACTGTCGGAGATCATCAGCTGGAAAACCAAGGGCAGTAAACCACCATATTGGCACTTAAAGAAATGCACAAGGACTAAGAAAATTCTATGGAAAGAGTACCACAGACTTTCCTTTCAGAATGGGTTACTCTATCGTAAAGTTTTCATTCCATCTACAAAGTCACTCTTACTACAGGTTGTTGTCCCGCATGCTTTACAAGACACTGTTCTGCAGTTGCTGCATGGGAATCCAGTTACTGGTCATCTGTCTGCAGACAAGGTCCTAAAGCGTGCCCAACAATTGTACTACTGGCCTTTTATGTCACGTGACATTAAGATGTGGTGCATGCAATGTGTTCCATGTGATGCAAGACGTCGTCCCATCACAAAGCTCCAATGAAAACAATTGTTGCCACTAAGCCATTTCAAAAGGTTGCAGCTAACATACGTGAGCTCCCCATTACAAATCGTGGCAACAGGTATGTACTAGCTGTTCAGGATTACTTTTCCAAGTATGTTAACCTTTATGCCATTCCAGACCAGCGCTCTTCAACAGTCGCAAAATGCCTGTTTGAAAACTTTATATGTGACCACGRGATTCCYGAGATGCTCCACACAGATCAGGGACGCCAATTTGAGTCAGATTTAATGAAACAACTGTGTGAACTGCTGGGCATTCAAAAAACACGTACCACCCCATATCACCCTCAGTGTGATGGCATGATTGAAAGATTTAACAGAACACTTATTGATCAGCTAGCCAAATCACTGCTTCAACAGCCTGGTGAATGGGATGACAGCCTCAAGCAGGTTGCCTTTGCTTACAATACCAGTCCTCATTCTACAACAGGCTTCACCCCTTTTTTTCTTATACATGGCCATGAAGCTAGGATGTCTGCCAACCTGTTGCTGCCTAACAACAGCCCATTCTCATCCACCCCAGGTTCTCCTGTTGACTATGCTGCACAAGTAACCCAGAAGCTTCAGTCAGCCTTTAGCTCTGCCATCTTGAATGCAAACAATGCACATGAAAAGCAGAAATACCAATATGACAGAAGTGTTAAACACACTCCCTATGTTTTAGGAGACCTTGTGTGGTTGAATGACCCGACTACATCAAAACAAAAACTCGCTCCTCACTGGAAAGGTCCCTTTGAAATATTGGAGTGCCTTGGGTCGGATGTTGATTCACCTGGAGTAACATACAAAATTTGTTACCTTTTGGATCAGTCTGACAAGTCCCAGATTGTTCATTACAACCACCTCAAACCTTACAACGCTCCTGTGCCAGCTCAAGAACACAGGATGCCTGCTCTTGACTCATCTTTGCTGGCACCACACCAACAACTGACTGCATTGTCAGGTGCATTGCCCTTTAAACCATCCAAATCATCTGCAATGAAAGTCCAAAACACACCTGGCAAAGGAAGTGTTCCAGTTGGCCAGCCAGAACCTGCACATCAGCTCCTTCCCCCTTCCCCCAGACCCC